GCACTTGACATAGAGTCCCACCCTTCCCACCCTTGCCTGCGCCACCAACAGGCCAGCGGACCAGCGGAGATAATAATGGTGGTGGTGATGGGTGTTTTGGTTGTTGTTCTTGTTGTTTTTGCTGCTACTACTGTTTCAGCCCGGGACACTCAATGCGTCCTTGGTCAGGCTTCGCCTTGCTGCTTCGCCGCTTGGCATTTGGAGGCGCGGTGGGAGTTTCGTCTGGCTGTACTAATGAAGTCAATCGCTTTGCCAACAGCTTGCTGCCTGTGTTGCCCATGGCATGAGCCTTTTCACTTGGCCGCATCGTCTTCTTTCATCCTCAAGCTGCTGGCCTTGTCTCTTGATTTCTTTCATCGGCGCATGATTGCAACCGCGGTCGAAAACATGACTTGCAAACATCTACCGTGCTTCTGCTTTTGAACCAGCATGCAAGTATGCAAGTTGCCGATTGCAAGCGCGAGACCCGCAAGCCACCCTGCTATCAGCAAACATCAATCTAGCTTTTTCTTTTTTTCATGCAGCTGCAATGACGAATCCACAGCATCAGTGCCATGGGGTCCTTGCGCAAGCCATTTGTGACGCGGACCCGGCTGCGCAAATTTCGCCAGAACTAGTCCATCATTTGGCGACCAGATTAGAACCGCTCTTCAACCAAAGGGTTGCTGTTTTCGGCCGGGAAAGCAAAGCTCAAGAATTGGTGCCGCAGCTTGTTGCTTGCCCTGGGTGCGGAGGACGACTTGCTGAATGTCGGAGCTCCGCTGCTGCAGCTATCGTCGTAGATCTGTCGGGTTTGGTCCAGAAACAACACATTCCACTGAGATGTCGGCGATCCTCCTGTCCAGACTTTGGTGTGCTGCTGTGGTACAACTATACCGTGCGGAGTGGGTGCCATCATTTTGCAGGAGAGCTACCTGAGTTGAACTGCTTCATGTTGTCCGCCACCTTCGGCTTCAGTGTCCCCTGGTTGCAGCAGTTTCACGTACGCATGGTGAGGCAACATGCGTCTTTCACAAGTGAAGCAGATGTGCTCGGCGCGCAGGCAGCTTACAATTCCCAGCTCCATCTCTTACCAACAGCTCGATTGCGGCTTCTCATTAGCCAGGGGTGGTTTGCTTGGCGTCTCCTCACCCGGGTGCACCAAAGCAATTTGGACCTAGCATCTTTTGATTTCTTGCGGCCCATGGAGGACATGATTGGCTTATTCTTGCCGCAGTTGCAAAGAGAATTTGGCAGGACTACCTTGGAGGAAGCCCAAAAAGCCACGATGCGCTGTGACGTTGTTGTGCTCGATGGCAATGCAAAAAATCGTCGAGCTGTTTGCGGAGCCTCATTGGCCGGAGAAACTTTTTCCAAGGAATTGCGCCGGGTGGTCCGCCACAACTGTGCCAATACTCCCGCTTTTCGGAGATGCTTCTGTCCCGCCCATTGCAGTCAAGATGATCAATTCCAGGCGGGGGGGCAAAGCATTTCCAACCGCAAAAATGGGTAAGGTTTTTCTTTTTCAGCCACTCTGCCTCAGGAAGTGACCATTCTTCAGCACAAGCTCATCAATGACGGACAGTGCTTGATGGTCTTGCTGAAAGAGACTGTGGAGCCTCAAAGAGAAGCTTGGGTATCCGATTCTGCAGTTCCAGCGTCTGTCCTGTCCAACTATTTGCAGCAAGTGGGCGAGGCGAAGTTGAAACCCAGCAAACGCCCACGGCGAGAAGAGGAGGCAGACGGCAGAGGCGGCTCTTCCTCATCGCTTGGACCTTCGATGCTTGCGAGTTTAACGTTGCAAGAGATTGGGCGCTCATCCGACCCAACAGATTTGCAGTGCGTGACTTGCTGCACACACAAGGAAGGCAGCGCTGCTCAAAGGCAGCTTGCCAAATCTGCTGGAATGTTGTGCGCGTGTTTGTCTGAGGGTTTGATTTTGCACGTGCAAGAAATCTACGGCTGTGAGTCGTTGAGCCAGAGATACCTATGTCTGGCGTCTGTGAAAGCCCTCTCGCCGTCCCTTCGCGTGGTGGTCCACGATGATGCTTGCCATTTGCACAAGTACGCGGCTCGTCGCGCCCAGGACGGAAACTCAAAGGGGATGACAAAGCCACGAAATTCTTTGGGCAGTGAGAGCTATAAGCACCGTGCTAGTGTTCTGTTGTTTCTTGCGTGAATGCGTTTCACGTTTTATATTGCCCATGCGCAGGATTCAGAAGCTGCTGCCCAGATAGCCCCGCCAGAGATGAAGTACGTGTGCGACAAGTTCCACATGGCTGGCCATACCGATGCTTGGTGTAAAGAGACGTGCGACCCAGCCTTGCCTGCAAACGCTTCTCTTCTTCAAGGCATTCGGACTTCGGTCTGTGAATTCACTTTTACCTGGTTGAGCAAGTACAAGCACCAAACCAAGCACATGAACAAGCACGGCTTCCAATTCTTCTTGCTCGATATGGCGTGGAGCCACAATGAAATTATACTCCAAGGAGGCTACAGACCAGAGGAGGTCGCCGGCTCTGCGGCATTGGAAGGGACCGACTGACAGTCTAAAGTTAAGATTTAGGATTTCAAGCGCGGCCTGTGCCTTATAGACTGGATCGAAGCTGTGGAATGGAAAATTCATGGTGTGTCGTACCCGCTCATTGCATCGACCTGTTGCTTCAAACGGCTACATATCACGCGGTACATGACTCTGTCAGTGCGCATGTGCAGATGCCTCGCTTTGAAACCAAACTGTTTTGTGTAGCTTCGACTAAGTCTGACTAAAGTGTTCCAACAAAGCCTTGCATGATGGCCGTGACAGCCGCGTCTGCTCTGAGCTCGGTGGCGCGACCAAGCCATGTCGTCAGTTCTGGGGCCCTTGTCTGGAGCCCACGAAGACAGACAGTACATCCCTGCCATGAATTTGATGTGGGATGAAGTGGACAAGTGCTTCGACCCAAGCTACATCCTTGGAGAAGCTGGGCACCGCTTCTGCCAAACATACGCTGTTAGGGCAGCCCATGCAGAATTTCCTTACGCCCTCCACTGCTTGTCGCTGATGTGTGCTCTTGTGAACGGTGCCAAAGTGGCTGTCTTTGCTACCTCGCCATCGCCTTTGACGTTGGTTGCAATTAATGTCAACTACGCCCAGACGAGAAAATCATCCTTGACAGGACATGCAGAGGCTTGTGGGCAGGAGTTGGACGCAGTCATCTTGACGAACGCGGAGTCCAAGCTGGCGACATATTGTGTGGAAGAAGGCGCTCCTGCGCCAGTGCAGCACAGGTGTGAGCGGGCTGTTGAAACAGGGGGCTGGGAAGTTTTAGGTGTTGAATTCTAACCAAAAACAAGCCCGCCATTTGTGCCAGGTTGAAGCCGAAGCTATTCTCCGCAATGGTTGCCAGCGCAACACCTGAGGAGTGGTTCCATCGATGCTCGGGCGATTGGAACCAGGTCCGAAATGCTGACAAGTTGCCCGGAGACTGGTCTGGCCGATGCTGGTTTGGCTTGCTGGGGAATTTTGATGAGGCCTACGACTTCCTGCTCAGCTTGGGTCTCTTGTCCGATGGGCCTGCATCCAAGGAGAAAGCCAAGGCAAGGGTGAACCCGTACCAGAGTGCCTTCAACAAGCTCTTGCAGTTTGGAACCAGCGCTCGCGCCACGAAAACGAATGGGAGCTATGGAGAGAAGCTTGCTAGAACCGTTAGCATGGGGATCACTTGCAATATGCACCCTGCGCAATACATCCCTATGGAAAGAGGTGAGGTTGGTTGCCACGCAGCTTCCACCAAAGAACGGTTTGTCATCTCCACTGGCCGCCCTGTGCAGCCGCGTGAAGACATGCCGGCAGATTTCTGTTGCCCTCCAGGACAGGTGTTCTGCGCGATGGGTGTTGTGTTAAAGCGTTTTGGATTCTGTAAAATCTGCTCACATTCTTTGCTGGATTTGCTTAGCGCAGGAGTTTCCCGGCACCGATGGGTTCCTCTCACAGCCGAAATTGCGGCACTGCTGGGCATAGCCAAAGAGGCTGCTTCGCCAGATGCCGCTGCTCAGGAGTGGAAAGACGTTGGCCTTGAAGATGAAAAAGCAGTGCAGCTCACCCAGAATGCAGCGGGCGACTATGTCCCATCAGAAGATGGGTACCCTGTGAGGCTCTTGGATGGCAAGATGAGCCGCCTACGGTTCAAACGTTCTCCTGCGTCGACGTCTGGGTTTGAAGCTCAGTGGCGCGTTGCCAACAGAAGCTTTGCCATTCCAGCAGAGTGCTCCCTGACGGCCGCTGTCTCCCGAGTCACTGCCTACTTCGACCAACCTCACCAAGTCATTGCCCTCACTCCGGAGGCGGAGTCTTGGCACATGTCCTACCAAGGTGGAATGAATGCGCAAGCCCATCTGTCTCGCGAATCAGGGGATGTTCAGGGTGGCGCTCGCTTTGGAGCCGCTCCGTGGCAAGTGGGAGTTTTGGCGGCTTTGCTCCTGGTGTTTGAAATCTTTGTGGGTGCGCACAGTGTTGAAGCTCTTGGACGGAGGGATTTGCAGGTCACTCCAGATCATTGCCAAAGGGCCTATGCTCTGCTCCAATTGGTTTCTTGGCACTTTGTTTCTTGTTTGTTTATTTTCAAAAACCCAAGATCTGTGGGCGCTATATTCGCGAATTCAGGTCCAGAAGCTGAAGCATATTGCTTTGGGAGATGCTGCCGCTAGCCCAGACCATTTTCCGCAGCAGCCAAGTCCGCAACCTGCTTTCGATTTGGCAACTTTGCGTGTTCCTTATCAGACGGAAGATTTTGCTTCGACCCAGCATGGTCCCGGACTTCGACTTCCCCAAGCTGGCGAGGAAGAAGAATTTGAACTTGAACCTGAAGAAGAAGATGCGGAACCTGGGCCCAACTCGCTTGAAAGGCCTCCAGACAGCGTGGCCGAAGTCGTGGAGGACCTACCGCCCCAAGATCCACCCGCAGGCGAAAAGCCGCTGGTTCTTGATGAAGTGCGGGCAAGTGATTTTGGTTTTGGCGAGAATGGCGTCACAGTCCAGCCTGACGGTCTCTTCAGCCGTCACTGGACAGACCGGGCAATCCTGAAGCACACCTTGCTGACCGGCAAGCCAAAGATGACTCGCAAAGAAGCGTGTGACAAAATGCGCACCAGCAGGGAGCAGGGCCGCCGCAAAGCGCTTCCGAAAGAGAAATGGACAGCGGTCATGGCGGCAGCCGCAGAGCAGCATTCCAGCATCCTTCAGCTCCAGGGTGAGACTTTGTGTTTGAAAGTGATCCCAGACACAGCGCAGGGCAAGGTGAAGTACCACAATGAATTGATGAGGGCTTGTGGGCTGACTTTGCGGGAGCTGGTGGCCGCCATGGAGAAAGCATCCAGCAACCAGGAAAGGAAGCGCCAGGAAGATCGGCGCAAACGGCCCAGAGATGAGGAGTGAGCCGTTGTGGAGATATACAACAGTCGCTAAGGAAGTGTGAAAAGAGCTCATCCGCAGGTGTTTGGTTGTTCAGGTGCAGGCAGCCAAGTGGGTCCTGCAAAACCTGCGTGAAACCAATCCACCCGTAGGTATTCCACCCGCCGAGCCCTTCCCAGAATTTGGTCATGACAATCTAGATCCGAACTTGTCTCCCTTAATTGCAGACCTGTCAGCCACAACAGCAGCGTAGGCAGACCTTGCGCCGCCTACACTGTGGTGCAAGACTAGCAGGAGCGGTGGCCAGGGATGGGGGCGTTGAAGTTTGGAAAAAGCAGGGTGCACGGTGTACATCAGAGATTCTGGTGGGCATTCCAAAGCATGATCACTTCAGTTCAATGAGGGTGACTTCTGTTACTGATTTTCGGCTTCAAGCCCCAGGTATAGGTGAGGCGCTTCCGTTCCGCCGCATCATGCTTGCAGGGCAGGCCCAACGAGGTTGATTGTCAGACGCTGCCTAACGTTGCTGTCTGAAGAACAAAAAAATCTTTCCATGTCCAGTTTATAGACCACCGGAACCGCAGACCGGACCACTGGACGAGCGCATCCATGAGAGGAGGGGAGCAGCGGACCGCGGACCAGCGGACCAGCGGACCAGCGGACCGGCGGACCAGCGGACCAGCGGACCGGCGGACCAGCGGACCGGCGGACCAGCGAACCGGCGGACCAGCGACCAGCGGACCAGCGGACCAGCGGACCGGCGAACCGGCGGACCGGCGGACCGGCGGACCGGCGGACCGGCGGACCAGCGGACCAGCGGACCAGACAACCGCACGATCATAAGTCCCAGCCTGGGCACGTAGGGCTGTCTGGGAAAGCTTCCCTTGGGACGGTCTGGGAGGGGCAACCAGTTCATCCACCACGTCATGGCCTCTCATTTGGTGGTGTTCGAGGTAAGCCACTATAGCCAGTTGACTGGCCGCCGGACAGGAGTGGAGACGATTGGTGTTGTTGCCACAACCAATGCAGGGTCTGCTGGTGGTGACGGCTCTAGCAATGGGGCTGAGGAAGGCTTGTGCAGCATGCCAAATCTTGTGGTGCATTCGGCTCAGGTGTTCATGGATAGCCTTGCCACTAGGTTGCCACTGGGCACAGAGGATGCACTTGTTCCGTATCAGGTCCAGTAGCCGTGGCACACTCACCACCCCCAGCCAATCCTGTTGTCTGGCTGCCTGTCGGAGTTCAGGATCATCGGCTGGACATGGACGGTCCTGCAGGGCGGCATCGAATTTCAAACAGCGGCCCAGGGAGATGTGCTTGACAAGGCCTGACCAGAGCTGGAACTGGCCGCCGCAGTGTCGACATTGCGGCATGTCACCTGCAGCATCACGAAAGATTCGAAACGGTTGAGGGGCCATCTTTTGTGCTGGATGGTTTCGAGTGATGTGTTGCATCAGGGTCATGTGTGATGGCATGCATGTCGAACAATGCGGGCATTGCCAGCTGACTGGAGGAGCCTCTGCGTCAACTGGCTGCTTAGGCACCAATGCCTCCAACACAATATCACAGTGCGATGCATACGGCAGTGTGTGCAGGAAATCATCGGGTGCCAATGTGCTGAGGAGGCCTGTTCGATCAACTCTGAATCTGGTCCAGGCATCGCGAAGGAAGTCCCTGATGCTGGGAACTCCCAAGCGAGAACGCAGGGCCTCAGTGGTTTCACGTGTGATGTAGGAGGGTGAACGTGCTATTCTGCGGAGATCTGTGGCGCAAACTGTCTCAAGCAAGTCTACTCCTTTCGATGTCATGCCACTGGCGGCCAAGCCGTAGACATACGAGGCCCGGACACAGCTCGTCCACAGGCGGACTCGACTCCCCAGGCTAAACGCGTGCCGGCGTTGGAAAAATGCTCTAAGGCGAGTGTAGGTCAGTCGACCGACATGAATGCGGTGCTTTAATGTCTGCATCTCAAAAGGACCGTAGCTGATCTTGGTTCCTAGATAGGTGTGCTGTGAGACCCATGGGATGAGGCAATCCCCTTGTTGGCGGGGCACAATGAGGTAGCGGCCTCCTTTGTTGTGTTTGGTCCATCTCTTGAATAGTCCCGCCACCTTCGAGCCCGACATCCGAAGCAAACAGGCAGTCTTCCGCAGATTGACCACTAGTTGATTGGCCTCAAGGACATCAAGGAGGTGACCGATGTCTATCAGTGCTCGGGGGAGATCCTCAAGATGGTCAAACTCCCATTTCAGCACTAAGTCATCAGCATACGAGATTAGATGGGCCCTCAACCACTCCAGCGGCTGGTCAATGCTAGCAAGAAATTGCATCAGAATGTCAAGCAAACAAACATTCCACTGGAGGGGCGAGGCCACACAGCCCTGGCGTGTTCCCCTGGTGGGTACCAACTGGCAGGATTGACCCCGGTGGTCAATGTGATACGCTGCACCATGCAGCCAGGCCAGGAGCAGGACTTTAAGGTCGGGGGGGCAGTTTACCTGATCTAGTCCAGGACCTAGTCTTTCACGAGGCATGCGATCGAAAGCTTCAGAAAGGTCCAAGCTCAGACACAGTCCCCCTCCTATTCGACGGGGCGCTTCCCCCGCTCGTCTCTGCCACAAATTTTTCATAGCGCTCTGACTCCTGGCACGAACATCGCGGCAGTGATGAAAGACCGCTATTAAGGCATCTATCGTGGATCTATTGGGTAAGTAGCCTAACAATGGAGCTTGACAGAGACTTGGCAAAACATGCGGCCGGACCTTCTGCATCAAGGTTTGAAGCACACATTTGCCCAGGACATCCGTCAAGGCGATAGGCCTGACATCTTTCGGGGTCTGCACTGCCCTTTTTGCAATGAGGGTCAGCCAGGCCGCCTGCCAGTGCTGCGGGATCGTGACCTTCCGATTGCACCACTCACGAACGAGCAACTGATGACAGATCTGGGCAAGGTCATCCGCTAGGCATCTGACCACGGCAGGCTGCAGGGAGCCGGGAGCCACTGCCTTGGTCAAAGGAACGCGTGCCAGGTTGTATCGGAGATCATCTGCAGTGAAAGGCATGCTCGACAGACGGACAGATGGACCAGGCATCTGAGGGGTGGACCCACAGTAGACGGTCTCAAAATGCTGGCGAAGGAGGTCCAGTTCGACCTCAGGGCTTTGGGCTAGCCCTGTGGCTGTGCGGAATCTAATTGGCCGAGACGGCTGCTTAGGGCTAAGTTCACGGACTATCATGTGGAGTTGACGTTGATCATGAGCCCTGTCGGCCTGCGCGGCTCGGTGCATTTGCTCTTGGAACCGATCCTGCTTCTGTCTGTGGGCATGAACAGTCATGGCTTTATGCAGTCGACTATGGATGGCGGCGTGAGTCCAGGCTTGGAAACTCGAACGAAGGTCAGTGACTACCAAGCGCCTGAGCTGATGATAGTGAGACCACATGGTGGCGGCATACCTGTGACTGGCCGGGTGTCTCCAATCAGGTTCAGTGCGACAGGGGGGACAGGTAGGGATCCAGTAGTCATGTGACCATTGACTGACCTGCTCAAGAGTCGACCATGTCGGATGCTGAACGTGCAGGCGGGCCTGGGCTTGAGGCACGAACTCCTGCCAGGCGTCATCTTGGGCCCGGTAGTGCATCTGGAGGTCCTGGCGTTGATGCCAAGTCCAACGTCGATTCCGAGTCGTGGGGAGCTTACGCCAGACCTTCCAGTGGACAGGAAGACTGCTTAGGATCGGCATATGGTCACGAAGTGCTCTCCACCCTGCCACCGGGAATGACTGAAAGACTCGGCTGTGCTTAACCTGGCTATCCTGTTGACATCGTCTCATTAGGACATGATCAATTGTGGACTTGCCTCCGGGACCTTCGAAGGTGTGTGCATGGTCATAGGGCCGAACCGTTGCAAGCGTATGCTTGCGGCAGAGCTCACGAAGTTCCCAGGCATCCTGCGGTTCATGGGGTTGTTTATGGAGGTCAGTATTGAAGTCTCCAGCTACAACAAGAACATTCCTGATAGGGAGGTGTGTGAGGATGGTGTCCAAGGAGGACCAGACCTCAGCTCGGCTATCAAACGGCTTAGCTCTTGTGGAGGTGACTTCAGTGGTGTATTGATATACCTGGACTATTTCGAGGGTCGTCTGAGCCAGCCGGCATTTGACATGCTGAACGCGACCAGGTATGGGCGAGGAACTTGACAGGTCCTGTTGGCCGCACAAGCGATGGTGAACCAGGGTCAACAATCCTCCATGGTCTCTACGGTCCTCTGTCCCGGCCGAAAGGGCCCAATACCCATACGTGCTCCAGTCTTTGGTGAGATGCCAGCGTGTGCCCTGAATACATGCAATGTCAACCGCATGATGACTCAAGTACAACATGAGCTCTTGCCAAGTGGCGCTGGTGAGCCCTCCGGCGTTCCAGGACAGAAAGGAGCAGCGTGGCCCGCCAGTCTTCTGATGCAGGGTCTCAGGCCGGTTCAGGAAGGGAAAAGTCGCCCAGGTCGCATGCATGTTGGAGCCGCTTGACATCACAGGAGATGCTGGGACGTCCAGGGATGGTGTCAAACAGCTCGGCTGGGTGGTCATCCACAGGCGGCCTTTGTATGAAGTGCAGCCATCTCTCAGCAGGCGGTGCACCGCTTTCCTAAAGCTTCTCTTCGTGCTCCAGGTTGAGCTGAGCCCTTGTGCCCCGGTGGGGCCTACTATTTGCCCTATTCCACAGTTCTTTTGGAGGGTACCAGGGGTAACTCGACCGGTCGGGTCTCCTCCTCCCTCTGTCGTGGACCAGAGGGAACCCTCACCTCTCATGGACCAAAAACTTTGCCAAGACTCGCTGAGGCACCGAGGTCCACGCCCGGACTTGGGACCGGGATGCCCAAGAAGCAGCCAACCGATCAGCAGCAGCTGGAAGAACAAGCCAGCGGCCACCATTCAAAGTCGTGCGAGATCGTGTGGCGGGATCGTAACCCCGCTACTGGGGGGCTGGCATGTTGGCCAACTTGAGCATAGAGGCTTGGAGGACAAAAG